TCCAACTCATTGAAAACATTCTCCAGTTGCTGTGTGATTTTATAAATTGTATTTGTGATACTAGCACTAAGTTCCTCTTAATACGTGCTTTTGATGAGTACACAACAGTTTTAATATGTTCCCATAAAAAAGTAATCAAATGAGGACAGGTCAGGCAAAGGAGCTACATGAAGAAGGACTTTTTAACACACTATCAGAGTAGACCTAGGAAGCACATTTTCCCTAATCACCCAACAAAGGTTACAATTAGTGCCAACTTAGTGATTATTTTTAGTTACTAAAGAAATTCCAAATTAGTGACTCTACTGTTACAGAATAATAGTAATTTTGTGCTTCTGCTGAAATCACAGCATTAAGAAATTCACCCAGTGAGGTGAATCTAGTACAAAAAAAAAAGCCATTAAACTTGTGATGTGCTAAAGTTTTGGGGACGAGGTAAAAAGTTGAAAGAAGGGATAAAGCAACAACCTTGAAAACTATCTTGTACATAATTCAGGTGTTTGCGACTATTTTATCAAGTAAAAACAAAAAGAACGTAATTGCTTTCACTGATATGATAAGAAAGGACATCCTATAATAGTACTAAGATATCAGAATCACCTAAGTAATTCACCTCAAATTTCCCTTTTCTGACATTGTATTGCTCTGACTCACATGTGACAAGTCATTTTTTTCCAATGGATTTAGCATAGTTTGGATCAAAGTTTCCTCTACTTCATTTAACAGATTTGTTCAGATGGAAGGTCCTGGGGGAGAAACAACGCTAGGAAGCGGGGGTTTCTGAGCGTCTGAATATGTAGGTCATTGGATTTTCAAATAAATTATAGAATAGTTTATCTATTAAGCAATCTTCAGCATATATATTTTATGAAGCTATACTTAATTATGGGTTAATGTATATCCCAAAATCACTCTACAGTAAAATTAAGCCCTCACACAGTCATAAGACTATAATTAATAAAAACTATATAGAAAGACAAGGGGTCAAATAATTCAAACTGAGATGCTATGAAGATGTCAATGTGGTAAAGTAGACAAATAAATTTACCAGGAGTCCATGGGTCTAATCTGTGAAAGGGAGTACGTCAAACACAGAAAAATTCAAGCTGCATCAAAGTCAGAATGGTTGATTTTAAAATGCAACCCTAACCTAGTGTGCCAGCATTGGTCTTCAGGTTTCTTTATTCCTATTGACTTCATCAATGGCATTACTGACAGGACACTGCTAACAGAGCTACTTTAAAAAAATTATGATTTTGCTTACAGTTTGTTTCTACTGGGCACATGCTCCAAAATCTAGCTAGTAATATTCCCACAAAATTAGATATTCAGATATATTAAGATTTTTTAAAATTTAAATGAAGTTGGGTGGCTATCATATTACCCCAGATCCAGTGCCTTTTTTAGCAGTGGGTGTTAAAAGAAACATCTGAAGCCTGAAAATTATTTTTTGGTTTATTCTGATAAAGAGTATCAGTCATTCTTCAAACTCAATGTAAAATAAAGTAGACTACTAAATTTATACAGTCCTCCTGAATTATAAAAGATCAATAGGACAAAGAAGTTAAAGATAATGCTGATAACAATGTTTTCTGGTTAGGATCTTGCTACTCCATATTTCCTTCTGCCATCAATAACACTTTTGCACAGAGGAGAACTTAAAGATAAAACGCTATTAGTCTCCAAAAAAATAGATTACAGTGACCTGTGATTTTTGAACAGAGAGTACTACTTGGACTGAAACCACTGAATATATCATCTCACTTTGTCACCCTGACATAAATGCTTGAGACATTATCATTCATATAATCTACAAATTTTTATTAAGTTACTGCTTGTATGTATGACATGGTATTATAGGTTCATCTTAACTCTACACTATGTCATCATTTTTCAAAAACTGTTATGCCACAAATTCATCTGACATTAGAGTCTTCAAAAATAGAAAAACATGCTGGTAAATTTTTCATTCAAGACAAATATAAAGAAAATGGAGGGAAAACCAGAATATAAAATAACATTCTGCTGAAGCACTATGGTATAAACGTAGGTTTATGTGGTATAGGTTCTAATCCCTGCTCTGTTATTTTTTAGCTGTGTGACTTTTGGCAAGTGATTATACCTCTCTGTTCCTCATTTTCCTCATTTGTAAAATAAATTGGTAAGAGTGAGGTACAGCTCTAAATCACATGCTCTTCTGGTACCCAATGGCACTAACCTGAAGCCTAAAACCATTCTGTGATCAAGGCTCTGATGATCTCCCAGAGACTGCCACTTAAATTATATGAATCCTGTACCCATGTTACAGATCTAGTTTCCTGGTATGGTGGTTTTAGGATTGTTTATAATGTGAATTTAGTCCCCCAAGGCACTGTAAATCAAGCCTGATGTTTCATATTTCTAAGAATTTTCCCTTCCCCAAAACAGAAATTACTTATTTTCATCTTCTTTTTTTAGAGAACATATATTTGTGTCATCAAATTAAAGGAGATGATATAATAAAAAAAAACATAAACCATCATATTGATAAAAGCTAGCTTCATCTGATTCCACAAAGAATAAACAGTAGAATTTGCCTTAAAATGTGGGTGGAAGGTCAATTTCTCAAACAAGCCGTATTTTTATGATTTTTTTTAAAAATGAGACTTGGTTGATTAAAATTCATTAAAGACTGTCAAGGGGAAGTTCTATTAATTAATTTTATTATTTTACATCATTATTTAACTCAGAGAGCTAAAGAGACATGGGTCAGATTTACAAGAAAGCATTTGGCTTAATTAAATACTTCATCTCTGCAGAAATCACTCCTTCAAAAAGGTTAGCTATCATGAATGAATATACTTTGGTTAAGGTGTTTTTGAAAAGAAAAAGCAGGAAAGCATTTTATAATGCTATATTTCTAAATTGTGAATATTATGCACAAATTATTTTAATGCACCATAGCTTGCTTTTCTATGCAAATATCTAAGGGATTATGGAAATAAAAATAGTTGGGTAACAAGATATACAGAGTATTTTATATTAGACTTGATATTAGACATATGATGGATATCACTGAATTATTTCCTGAACCTCCCAATAAATTAAAAGGATATTTCATTAAAGAGCAAGCCAAATAAATTCAAAGATTACACTACTGATGTCCATTGAAAATACTAAGGTGGTTTTTAATTCTCACTTCTATCTGAAGAATGAGGAAAAGATTCCTTTCAAACAGGAGTTATACTTTGTTACTATTCTGTACCATGCTAGCTTTTTTTTTTTTCCTTTAAGGTACTACACCATATATAAATAGCTGATTCTACTAATTGGACTTCTCATAAAAAGGAGAAAAAAACACAGCTTGGTTTCCTAGGGCATTGAATAGTCTCATTTCTACTTACTAAACCTAATAGTGAAGCTCAGTCATAGGCCCAATGACTTCCTGCTTAAGTTCAAAATATGTCATTCTGTCAATATCATCTACCTTGATTATGTCAAGCTTTATACACAACAGGTTATGATCCTCATGGGATGAAAAGCCCTCCTAAATTAAAAACAGAATTTTAAAAGGAAATACACATACATTCCTATCTAGTTTCCATTTGATACTTTCAAGGTTAGCCCATGAAGTCAAACTCACATTGATTGAAAGTGATTTTTCTGGATAGAGCCATGTTAAAATTTTAATGGAAAAAGGAAAATAACAAAACTATGCTTCAATGATTCAATCAGAGCCTTTTAAACTTGTTATTTTCAAGATGGTAATGCCCCCCCCCAAATCATTAATCCATAAAAATGGACAAAAGATACAGGCTAAGAAAGACCTTCAGGAGACCAAACTCTTTAACATCATACCAATAGGGTCTTTACTCCTGCCTCATTCCTTTTGGATAAAAAGTATTGTATACTGTATTTTAACTCCCCAGTCAATGACTCACCATGCTTCCTACACTATAACCATTATCCACAATTCCCCCACCCCTCTCCAAATAGCCTTGGATGCTTCCCTTGGTCACCTCCTTGTTATGCTGCCTCTAGCTATCATCCAAAAATCATTCCTACTCTCTCTGCATCCCCCCTGAAACCTTAGAATCTGCAACTTGGTCTTCACTTTTGATAAGTCAGTTTCACCTTATGCCTCTTTCCAGTAATCTCTACACTCATACCCCATCCTCCATTCACAGATTCCCTTTTATGTATTATCTTTCCCATTTTAGAATGTAAGATCCTTGGTTGCAAGAAATATCTTGCTTGCTTTTATTTGTGCCCCTTGTGATTAGCACAATGCCTAGAATATAGGAAGCAGTTAATACATCTATTTTGAATCTATTCACCTATCTTTTAAAATTCAAAGTGATATATAACCATGCTTCCAATTGTATATGTAGCCAGCATATAAACAGAGTTTCAAATAAACCTGGAAATAAAATGTTAATTTGTCATGAAATGCTTCTTCATGCACATAAATGATAACTCACAAAAGCAAAACAAAAGAGGGTATTATAAATATAAAAAATACAAAATTGGGTTTTAAATTCATTCTTCTGATTTTAGTTTGGAGATAATTCACCAGAATGGATTGTAATAGTATTGTTAGAGAAGACTGCAATCTTCCTTAACTACAATTCTGATCACTATATACTAATGCTGCTAAAGGCCTTTGGAGTCTTTTAGTAGAGAGAAATGTAGCAATTAAAAGGAATATTCACAACCTTCTTTGAATTAAACTCATTATCAAATCATCTAAAAATTCTTTGGGGAAAAATGTGTAAATAATGAGTTTAATATGAATTTATGTTATATTACTATTAAATATAAGCATCATATGGATAATGTGAAGCCACTAGCTATGGATATTTAACTAAGCTGAAAATCTACCTAGTTCATATTGAAGGATTTATAGCACTTATGTCAGACTGTCACAATTTTTTCCCAGGCATTTTCTTACCACAGAACGAACCAGTCATATACCCTCTTAAGCATTCATGATGCAAATATAAAAGTAAAGAAAATAATACCTGTGTACGGTTGAATGCCACTCTAGCAAACACAGCCTGGGAAACACTGGCTCTCTTCAGCTCATCTCTGACTTGCTGGTAGATATCTGGAGAAACTTCCACTGAAGAGTTTGTTGGCTCTGGCTTCACTGCTCTGGGGATGGGGGGATGATTCAAGAACTGTTGGTTGATGGCTTGAGGGTGTTGGTGAGCCAATAGTCGGCTGACAGCTATCTGTTGGTTTATCAGGTGAGCCATTGCTATTTGTTGCCTTACCAATTGTGGACTGAGTTGGGGAGAAAGAAGACCAGGGCTCATGATGGGCTGTAATGTGGGCACTTGGTTTCGGATTGGAGTACTGTGGTGAATTTGGCTATGAGGAGACTGTTCGTTAGTTTTTCCCAAGGTTGCCAGCTGGTTCATATTTGGTAAATGCATTGGACGTTGGCCCAGAACACAATAGTCTGAAAGGTTTTCTCTTTCCACTCTTTCCACTGTCAAAAGATAAAAATGAAATTTTGTTATTTTAAATCACATAGGTACTACCAAAATAGCTTATATTGAATTATCATGTTTTTGTCATGAGTATGTTCAAATGGATTTCTTTTTTTTCCTATCTAAAAATGTATACAAAGGTGAAGAAAGTACCTTTAGAGTATTATAAGTGAAAATAATTTCTACCCACATGCAAAAGTCTCTTCAATTAAAACATACTAGAAAAGATTCCACATCAAAACTATTGACTGCTTTCACTTTGTTGAAATTACTTCAGGAATACATTTTACTGAATAACCAAGAGAAAAATCAACAACTACACAATCTGAACTCTTTTCATATTCAAAAGCTCCATCAACTCCCTGGATTACTCTCATATAAAAGTATCAGCTGCTCTCTTTGTGGAGTTTGTAGGCAATAGTGTAGTTCATGATTATCAGGAAAAGATAAGGACAATATCTCCTACCAACTGTTGACCTACTTTATATCTTCATCTATCTATTCAATTGCTCACTGCTTTTAGAAGAAAACTATTTGAAGAAAGAGTTGTGTGTGTTTCTTCATTTTTAAAGTAAGATCAATATATGAATGTAGGTCAAAAACATAAGCTTTTCAAAAATCTCTACATACAATTAAATTTATCCTAATATGGATTATCATTTTGGTATCTATTTAGTGAATAAAAGCATCAGCTCTTGGAAAGGAGGAAGTAACAGGTTGCTCTTGCTTGCTAAAATAAAAGGCTTGGGAGGTAGCAGAGAGAAAGAGGCTGACTTGTGTTTTATAAACCTCCCAAGTAATCAACAGTTTTCTTTAAATTTTTTAAAAGTTCAATTTCTAATTCAATCCCTTCAAAATTATTTGGTTGAGTACACTCTTTTATAAAAGTCTACAATCCAAGAGCAACCTGTTGAGGATTTGCAGTCGTGCTTTTTATAAGCAACACCTTTCAACCATCTCCCAGTTAAGAAATTTATACTTATTAAATATAGAACAAAGTATTCTTAGAACCAAACCCAGCAGCACACATAATGAAAATTCAAAAGAGTTAGATATCCCTGAGCTAATCTATACACATTTCTACAAAGGGAAACTATTCTTATTCTCATTATGCAAATGAAGTAGATACATCATGAACTGAGGACATAGCAAGCCCAAGCTTGCGTTCAATCTCCTGAGCCATTCTCCTAATACCACAACATATGTTTTCATCTGAGCCAGGATCAATTAAAGCAATAAATGATATTTAATCTTTAAAAGATTCAAAAGCAGAAGAAAGCAGAAGTTTCAACCATTTTTTCCCTTTCTACTCAAATGACATGACTTCTTGAGGAATTCCCAAATATTGGTGTTCTAGGAGAAAAATATTTTAGTAACCGTACATTCATTGACCCAATACTAACCACTTTCTAAAATCAATATTTAAACTCTCAACAACGTAATCATCTTCTATGATGTTTATTCTCTCTTAATATGGCATATCTAAGCCAAAGAATATTCTATCAATAAGAGAAAGAAGTGGTTTCCAATATTCTGTAGTGATAAAACCTTCTACTTTATACAAGATTCAGCAGAACCCTTACAATATTTTTAAAAATTTAAATGTTTACTACTCTATCAGCTAACACAGGACTGATTTTTAAAGCTTATATTTCAGATAATTTTAATAATTCATATTATCATAAAATAATACATATATAACACAAATTACTTTCATTATATTCCTGTGATAGAGGTAGTTTAAATATTATTATATTCATTTTACAGAGGAGAAAACTGAGGTTCATATGGTCATAAAAGCAGTAAATGCTGCTGTCAGGATTTGAACTCCAAAAAACTGACTCTAGTGTCCATACCACTGCACATCCAGGTTCTCAGACAATTTTTCCCCAGAATGTAATCACGATGCAAACAACTTATTTAGTAATAAGGATGTGATTTCTTGTGATCAATGAGTATCTAACAACTGGAAGCAATAACAGATAATAATTCCCCTTAAATGATTTTTAAAGACAAATGTCATTTTTCTTTTTACCTACAGAAATGCATATTTTGAGGGGTTGTTTTAGAACAACCCTTTTTCCTTTAAAATTTTGAGGATTTCATTTTCAGATTCACTATGATGTCCACAAATGTTTTTCATAATTTTGACAGAACTCTAACAGAAAGACAATGTACTGCTACTATGCATCAGAACACTAGAAGAAAACCTAAATTGGAGATACCTTTAGTGATATATACATTTGGTAATTTAACTAGGGTTTAGAAGTTTGTTTGTTTTCTATTGCCAGTATGTTAATTATTTTCTTATACTTTAAAATTATTTTAAATTCTTAAAAAATTTCCATAGTGGACAGAAAGTTTCTAATAAAAGTTTTTTGTGTTGAATTGGAGGCAAAGGGCAAAGATAAAGCAGGGTGGGATAAATTACCTTTCCAGATGTATGTACACCTGCATAGTCAAGTTCCAAAAGAGCATGGGAGTGACAGTGATTCTACTGTACAGCAAGATATGTACATGGTGAGGCCATTCAGAGGAGCAGCTCACTGGTTCATAAGGCTGTAGTAACCCTCATTGGCTCATTGACTCCCCTGCTCCTAGTTACAGCATCTGAACTAAAGAGAGGCCCCTAGTGAACCTACATAAGTTTGGGGCCTCCTTAGTATTTCTGATTGGCTCAAGGGAGTCCAAGAAGATTTTGTTTCAGATCGGACTTCACAGGTCTTAAGTTATGTTGCTGACTGGACATTCCAAGTAACTTAAGAGACATCATATTACAACCACTCCAGTTCACATAGGGATTCTTTCAATCTCCACAGCTGGCCCATGAAAGCTATGCCAGATATGGGGTTTCAAGGTTATAGCAATTTCTCAAATTCCTATAAGCCACTCAGTTTTACAAAGTACATTCTTCATAACAACCTTGTGAGGTAGGTAGTACAAGTATCATCATTCCCACGTAAGCTCAGAGATGTTTTGAGTCCCATCCATGGTCACCCGGCTACTAAGCACAAAAGCAGGATTTGAACACAGGTCCTCTGAGTTCACATTCAGGGGACTAGAACAAATGTTCTTCAGAATGGTTCGTAAGCATTCAAATGAGTCAAGGCTTCTAAGCACATACATGATTAGTTAGAGAGTTAAAAGTCTGTGGGAATTGGTTTAAATCACTAATGAGAGTGAATTTGCTTCAAAACTATGCTCTATTTTAAGGATTTTCAGAGTACTTTAGATAGCCAAGAATATTTTTTTAAAAATCAAGTTATATCAGTGACTAGTGTCAAGATAAAAAGTGCACAGGGAAAACAGACATACTTTGGTACAGTTTTCCCCTGAGTTGTATATAATCTAAGTTGTTTATATAATAATTTTATTATACTCTTAATGACTACTATTCTATAAATCTGAAAGCAACTTCCTCCTTGCATTCATGTGTATTACTTTGTTATAACCATCCTTACTTTTTAATCTATAAATTCACTTATTAAAAAGAAACTACTATGAACTTAAATGGAAATCTGTCATTTTAAAGTAAGTCAATTTGATTCTATTTTATATTATTACAGTAATCTGTGATTACCAGTCAGTCATATCTGAAAGGATCAAAACCATTTACAAACATATCATTAGTTCTCATAAAAGCTTTGATAGGCAAGCAAATTAGCTATGTTTTACTGTGGAAATAAGGAGTAAAGGGTGAGGTTCATTGTTTAGGGTCATCCTATCAATTCACAGTTGTAATGCAATTTTTTAAACACCTAATTAGTAGTTCTCTAGACACATGGTAAATTCTCAATTAACTAGCATCCAACTAACCAAAATCCTCTATTCACTGGATTAGAGTTTTCCCCCAATTCTCTTCTTTCAAAAGAAAAACAGATGGCAGAAGAATAAAGAAAAAATTAGTTCTATTCCAGTTCAGTTGTCTTCAGTAATGTCTGACTCTTTGTGACCCAACTCCTCATTTGGAGTTTTCTTGGCAAAGATATTGGAATGGTTTGCCATTTCCACCTCCAGCTCATTTTATAGATGAGGAAACTGAGACAAGCAGGTTTAAGTGACTTGCCCAGGGTCACACAGCTAGTATATGTCTGAGGCCAGCTCTGAACTCTGGAAGATGAGTCTTCCTGACTCCAGGCTCAGTACTCTATCCACTGTGCCACCTAGCCCCATGTTCTATTCTAGGATATATGTTAAGGTCAGTGTATATGCAGCATTACCATGCAGCTCTAAAATTATATAATTCTAATTCTCTACATAATCTACAACTATAGAGGTACTCAATAAGAATTGCTGTTCAGGATGAGACACTATAAAATCCTGAATTATCAAAGGCAGAGTCAATGGGGGTAATAGATAATTTTACTGAGGCAGAAAAGTGGTTGATAAACATTCTAAAGGTATTTAAAGAAAAACTGTTAATATATTTAGAAAATTCATTTGTGAACACATATGTACCCTGATGCTTGTCATTATTTCTCATATCTTCAGAAAAAAAAAATTCATGTTGTCATTTTACTCTTAAAAGTAATAGTTTTAAACTTGCATATATTTAGGGAAAGTTTCTGCTATTAACATCTTTCATTTTTCATTTTTGTCCTCTGAGATCATGGCAACTTCATAAGAAATTACTTAATTCTTCAATTTACAATACTCACACACTGAGCACTTAATCTCATCCAAAATAACATTAGACAGTTAATTTCACGTTCCTAAAATTATACAAGTGGCTAATCATTTGTAAACTCCTTGGGAGTAGGGATTGTTTCATTCATTGTAGTATTTGCATTCACAGTACACAGCCTGGCACATAGCAGACTCATAATAAATGCTTGTTGATTGATTAATATCTGCCTATCTAAATGTCTTATTGACCTTATTAAGGATATAGTAATTACAGTAATTAACAGGTCAAGTTTCCTAGCGAATTTCAGCCTGATTTAGATATTTAGACCAAAACATCTAGTATTTCTCATTGGCTTATAAAGAAATGCAATTA